GTTACGAGTTACCGATGCGGGGCCCTATACATAAATAATGATTTAGTTATGGGGGGGGAATTCTTACGGCATTCCCATGTAAATTGATTTGAAGAGGCTTCCCAAAAAGGTTGAGAAACCGAGAAACGTGGCACATTTGTCACAGTTTGCTGATGGATGCCTTGGCGCCTTTCCACACCGGCACACCAACACACCACAAAAAGATACAAAACATATTTTGTAGCCTGGTTGGTTGGTGTTTTGGGTTTTGCGAAATCAGCAAATGGGTTTGCCATATGCCATATAAGATTCGGTTTTCGCCCCACTCGTACAACAGCTTGGCTTGGGGCTGGCCTGAAGCCGCAAAACAAGTTTCCATTTGTAGGCTGTTTTTTTTTTTTTTTTGCCTTAGCTATTAGAGCCGCTTGGGTGTCAACCTAAGCAGTTATTGTTTTTGTTTTTTGGTTTTGTTCATTTGCTCGTATTCAGATTTCAAGCAACAACAGCAACAACAGCAACAAATTTGTTGCTATTGACAGTTAAAATTGCTTACAAGTGGCAGACAATCCACAGACAGCACACACCACAGCAACACAGTCGCTTCTCTGGGTCGTCTCTGGGTAGTAGTAGATTTCTTCCCATTGTATAAAGTTGTTAAAATCCGCGACAAGTGCCACTTGAACTTGACGTTTTGGAGAGACACCGCAGAGAATTGGGAAAGAGAGAGACAGAGGCAGAGAGAGAGGCACCAGAGTCTCAAGAGACACGAACCATATACAATGTTGAATGTTGGATGATGTCTTGAAGATTTATGCCACTTGAAAGCGCCAGCTGTAAAGAAAAACCTCAAGGGGAAGTACCAGATAAACAGTAAAAACTTTTAAGGAAGTGTTATGCGATATAGATATATACTTTTCCTCAGAGAATTAGCATTTTTCTTGGGTAGCAGCTCTTTGCATTTGTTCTTTTTGGTAAATATCACTCATAGGCAATCTTTACTGTAGCTAAAACACTTGATGACAACGTTTTTCGCCAAGCGTTTGCCTTGAGCTAAAAAATATATACAAATTTTCCATACTCCAACTAAAAATGCAAAAAAAATTTGAAAGCAAAACCAAAACGAAGCTTTAAATTCTCTTCCAGATACATTTTTCTGATGCAAGATTGACGTTTATGAAACTCACTGGGAGAGAGCTAACAATAAAAAGAGAGAGTGAGGAACAATGTATGGTATTTTTAATCCTTTGGTTTAAAAATGAAAGATAGAATAAGCCCACATGTGCTCAATTGACTCTTTTGCTTTATGCAGATCAAGAATAAACACAGCTCCTAGGGTACAAAAGTTTGATTTTCGATTTTAAAAGACTTTAACCAAACTAGAAAATTTAGAAAGCCCGTCAGAATATGGACTGGAGAAAAAAGTTATAAAGAACTGACAGAGAAACTGAGACAAGCCACAAGGACACAACATACTTGAAGCTGCGCCAACAACACGTGGCCATAAACTGTCGATGGGGCCAAAAACAATTTGGCTTATAGATTCGGCAAGAGGCAGGCAGGAGGAGGATCATGGAAATGGAGCCCTGGGTCGTTGTCATATTTTATGACCCCAAAATAGTTAAACGAATGCACAAACACACATACACATAAAAACCAGCTGGAAAATTGCTTGTAAAACATTTTTGTGTGTGTCCCAATGTCACGGGAAAGTGGTGGACAGGAGGGCCAGAGCGGGAAACAGCGGTGGCGGCAAGAGAAGTGCGGTACACATTTATAGCAAATCTCTGGGGCTCCTTCACACATTCCCATAAATCACAAAAAAGTATTTCACATTTTCTTGCTTCGCTCTTCTCTTTTTTTCTGGCCATATTAATGCGCCTACACCCACATCTGGGTCTTTAGAATAGAACGGGCAGGGGGCAGGGGGCATGTGGCTGTGTAGGAAGCTGGCATGTGGCGGGCCTAGGTAAGGGGGTGGGGGGATATTTGGTATATGGCTGACAGCCTATTTGCGCCTCAAGCAGGAGTTGGAGCCCAAAGCGGCTCCCCAACTTGGCTCCTGCCAGTCGCTGACTTCGTTTTTCTCAGCTATTTATGATATTCGTGCGACAATTTCTTTTCTTTTCGCCAAATACCCTCTAAAAAATAGAGTTTAATGGGGTTATGAGGCTAGAGAGGTTAGACATGAAAGATCATGCTGAAGTTTAGATCCTTTTTAAACTACTTCCGCCCTTTCCCAGTGTGGCTTAGCAGTAAAATATTAATTTTCATGTAGAACACTTCTCTCTTCCCATCGTTAGCGCTCTCCCAGTGCGTTTCCTACACGTATTTTTATTTGCATGCTGATTTTCCCCCATCCGCAGTCTGTTTATTTAGCTGATGTCTCCTGGAGGATCCAGAGGACGACACGAGGCATTTTTTTTCATCATATTTTTGGTGAAAATGAAGGGGCCTTGGGTTGGTGGGGAGCAACCCGTTTGCAGACTCGCGAATGTTGAACAAATGTGTGACATTTTTGTGCGGTGGCATGGAATGAATCGTGGATGGGGGCCACAGAGCATATAGAGGGGTCTCTGGTCCGCAACTCTGTCTGTCTGTCTGTCTGTCTGTTTGCTCTCTGCACACACGCATTCGGAATTGATTTTTATGCTGTGATTATATTTCCGAAAAGGTTGACGATGAGCCAGGGATCTGAAGCGGAGGATGGCAATGGGAATGGGGCACAAGAGTATATGGGGGCCTCCCTCCCTGTTTGTTCATCTCTGCAACAATGAAGTGTCGCCGCCCCAGAGTCGAGAGCGAGAGAACACGCTTGAAAAAATATAAATTAAATTATGCGTTCATGTTGTTTTAATGGCTCTCTGCACCCCCTACAGATAGGTGGTGGGGTCGGGGCGGGGCAGGGATTTTAAACGAGGGATTCAAGGGGCAGACAGATGCTGATAGTATCATTTGATGCGCTGTCCCTCCTCACACATATACCGTTTTTTTTCACTCTTTTTTTATGCCCCATGTTTAACGATCGGAAGTTATATTCATAAAAATATGTCAATGAATTGTGAATTATTTATGGGGCGGGATGAATGTCAGCCCAATAAATAAATAACCAGAAAGAGCATGTGGCCAGAAGTTAGTCGATTGAGTGATGCCCTGGAATGAGAATGAAGCACAAAAACTATCTACTAAAGATTGTAAAAGTATCAAGATGGACGTTTTGAAGGTATGTCTGGGATCTGGAAAACACTACACTTAAATCTCTGTTATATTGTACACAGGGTATCAATAATGAAATGTTTGCAAATTCAAAAGATATACTATTCAATAATAATATCGTAAAAATATATCTCAAAATTGCATTGCTTGAGGTTCACTTTTGTTTGCAAGCACGGTGTTCAAATAGCCTAACTTCAACTTACTTTTTTTATTCTGGCTATAATGATACATCGATTTTAAGCAGTTTCTGCAAACTGGTAGCTAAAAAAAGTTAATGCGTTTTTCGGTTCTCTTTCGTACTCTTTTTTTCTGGTTATGCCATAATGATATGTTGCAAAATTCATTACAAACATACACATACGAAAGTGCACTCGAAAAAAAACCATAAATCTCCGGTTGTTGAAGAGCTCTATGCATAAATTGGATTTTCTTGCACTAGCTGTGAGAGGCGTGCGAGGCCTTGGACTCAAAAACGCAGCCACAAAAATTTCGTATAATAACAAAAAATTGAAACTGAAACTGTAACTGTAACTTAATTGCAATTAAAGTCGAGTGCTGAAGTAGGAGAACGTACCGGTAACGCAAACGGATTGAAATGAACACCTTCAATTAAATTGAGTTTTGCGTCGAGTTGACCCAGTTTATGCCACACAGAACACACCCATAAGACCGACCACCCCCCTATGGCCAGAAGAAGGAGAGGCAACGACCCGTTTCCGATTCCCGGGGCCGGACGTCGCTCTCCTCAGCCAACCTGCCACACAAAGTGTTGGCCAAAGGCTAAAATTTCCAGCGACAATTAGAAAATTTGCAAATTACATAAAACGATGGACACGGTTGTCAGGTGGCATGTGGCAGAAGACAGAGACAGGTTTACCTCAGGAAAACGGGAGGGAAATATGAAAGCCAAAAGGTGTAGAGCAGCAAATTTTAATGAAAAGAAAAATGCAAAAAGAGGGTAAAAAGATGGGGGGAAAATGTAGAGCCAAGTTGTTGTGCAGACAACAGACGGAAGGGGAGCACAAGGGAAGAGGGCAGAGATATAGCCAGACTCCGACTGAAAGTGGCCCAAAGACTGGTCAGGTCTCTCCCACCACCTTTACAGCGGGTGTTAAGTTGGTAATTTTATGCCTGAGTTAACTTTTAATTTGTGTAAATGATTTTGTGGATTTTATGCGCATCATTAAAATGGTAAGAGAGAAAATGCAAAGCCCCAAAGCCAGAGGGGCGAATGGGAGACGAGTATGTATATATTTTGATGTATGCGAGAGATCTACATAGTTGAATGCCTTTTTCGATTGGTGGGGGATTGACAGATAGACAGACGGCTAATGCTTCTTGATTTGTGGGTCAGTCTCATAACGCTGGGAATATCCCACAAAAGAGAGAGCAAGCCAGCCGATGCTTCCATAAAACTCAAAGATGTGTTATTTTAAGAAAGATATTCAATGAAGGGAATGGAGGAGGTATCATTTAATTGTTTTTATATAAAGCCATAGAATACCATTTAAAGGCAATAAATAAGCCATCAGAAAGCGCTCTGTTTCACTTTATGTATCAATTTTATTCAACATTCCACACATGTAGCTTTAACTTAAAGTTTTGTTGCATCAAAGTTGACAAAAAATGTCTCTAAATTATGAATTTATTAAAAAACAAACAAAACAAATTATAGGTTCACAAATCTGTTGACATTTCACTTTTGTTCTCAATTCTCAACTAAAACAAATACATTTTTTCCCATGTTTGTTTAACCGAGAAATTTTTTGCCATCAAATGTATTTAAATATGTGTTTTTGTTTACTTACAGATTGAAATATGTGTTGGTTAAACGCCTGGAATTAAAGAGAAATAACATTCTGTTATTATTTAAGAAAGACAAAACAGATAAATAATAAATTGAATATGAATATGAATTATTTGAAATTAACTCCCACAATTACGGACACAAAATCCGCTTGCTTTATTTTTTAAAGTCGCTGAGATCTAGGGACTGTAAGAATTTGATATAACTCTCTTTGATTACAGGGTATTTGTTAAATCGGCCACACGTTATGCAATCTGAATGCCTGGAATGTCTTATTGATGGCATTACATATCGCACATACGCCCTGTTGACCACCCAGACTGGGGTGGGGGAAAAGTCATTTGGCACGATGCTCATTTGAATTTAACACTTTTATAACCCCAAAACTCCCCCCTCCGTTGTCGCTTCGGATCGTAAAAACTACAACAACAAAAAAACTTTTTGGCGCCGCACATTATTAAAATTTCTTTATGACAAGCAAAGAGAGGGAGAGCCAAAGTGGTAGAGAGGAAAGGCAGTGGCAGTGGCAGAGTTGAGAGTCAAGAGTCGAGTGGGGCGGAGGAGGAGCAGCTCTGGAGAGCCACAACCGACAACGACAAAAGGCATAAAAACTGGTAACAAAATATTTGGCTATACAGAAATTTGTTTTGGTCTTTAGTTTTAGCATAAATTAACATAAGATTTATGGCCACACAGTCCACTTGAAAATGTGACGAAAACTAGAGAGGAATGGGGCGGAGCAGAGTCATAAAGTTGCAAGTGAATGAAAAAAGTTTTTTGCTTTTTAAAGGAAAACACAGGCGCCACAGAAGCAGGAGTGAAGGATGAGTTTCTCTGCTTTTCTCTTGTGGAATTTAAGGCAGCAGAGCACGTGTTTGGCATAAGCAACAAGAAGCAACTGGGAAAAATGCTCTCGTGGCGGAAAAAAACTTCAAGATCAACTGGAAAACTCTTTTCTTCTTTTTGTTTCTTGTTTAAGTTGACAACTTTGCAGCCGTCTGGGCAGCGTGTCTCTCACTCCACTCTCCCACATCTCTCTGGTAATGAGATTGTTCCACAAAAAAATAAAAAAAACAAGAGGTACAATCAAGGAGCGTAACGAAAACTTGTTTTTAATTAAAAGACATGCGTTTCGTTTAATGTCAGAGTATCTGAAAACAATAAACATTTATGGCGAATGTGGGATTCGTTCAATTGGCAATTCGATTTGAATATTTAAAAATGCATAAATAACTGACAGTTAAATATTACCTGCTGATCAGAAGGTTGATGTTTATCGTCAGAAATGATTTGTGCGAGAGTTAATTGATTGGCGGGTAGGAGGTACAATTATGAAATGCAATTAACATTATGTCTGATGTCTGTGTATGATAGGGATACAGTGGAGTAAGAAGAGAGAGAGAGAGAGAGAGACATGCCGGATATGAAAACTCATCCTTTAATTTTAAGCCATATTGGAGAGAGAAGGATATATAAAGAAAGCTACATAGTCCCTCCGGACGCTCTCGGCATTGCAAATATAATATTAATCCGATAGCAACCACTCAGAGAAAAATTGCATAGCACAAAGAACACACATATTTAAATTAAATATTTGGTTTTTAGATTCAGACATAGTCAAATTAAATAGCATTCGCTATGGTTCAAACATACAATTTATTATCTATTTAATACGTCTCATATTTAATCAATATTTTAATCAAATTTGTTCAGTATAATTTCAAATTTCAAGTGAATGCAAATTTATATTAATATATTAAAGTTTTTTCTCTGAGTGTAGATAAAATTCAAGATTTATTGATTCAAGAAAAGTTTAAGGAACCAAATTACAATTTAAACATCTGTAGGACTTTTTTTATAACTATTCAACGGCTCACAAAATCTATTATTATTCTTAGCTTAAAGAAAGCAGAATCATCACGAATCACTGATGCCTAAAGCCTGGCGACTTTTGCTAACCGTTTTTCCTTATTAGTAGTTCTCCTGCCTAGCCCCATGCCCATCTCCCCTCTCCACACATTTTCATTGCACTTCTAAGCCATCCGAAAAGGGTTCCGCCGCACAGCCACACGCTCTCGATATTATTTCTCGCGGAAGTCACGTAGTCGTTGAACAATTTGAAAATGAGTTTTGTCGGTTTTACACACCACATATTTCTCTTGTTCTGGAACGGCTCGGCTCGGCTCAGTGGATGTTCTGTTCTCTGCTCTGTGTGTCGGTTCGGTTCGGTTCTGTTCAGTTCTGTTCGGTTGCGGTCAATGGAAAAGGCAGCCCAGGAATTGAGCAATTCGCACGTTTGCCCCTCAGTCTCACAGAAACAAAGTAAAACAAAGAGATTTGAACGCGGTGTACAGACGGAATACAAGACGGAATAATTCGAGTAGCATTTTGTATTGATGGAGGAGGCCTCATGCCTCCATGGTTCATGCCCCATGTGCCCCATGTTCGTTTCGTTTCTCAGAAATGCCATAAATTCATCAATTATGACGGCTGGACACTGCCTGAGCAGTAGCGGAGTGCAGGAGTGAAGATGTGGGAGTAAGGGGCTTCGAGGGCTCGCTTTGGGCTTGGGTTATGGGTTGGGCCTCAGATTGACAGCTGTCGCCACGAGGCAGAGAGGCCTAAGAGTGGCTGGCTCCCAATCGTGTGAGTAATGTTGAAAATTTCAAGGATTTCGTTTTCTTTTTTTTAATTGGTGGATTGGAATGGCAAACTTGGAGATGGTGGGATACATACACAGAAAACTTCCTATAATTCTAAGTAAGTGATGGATATGTATGCAGATCTCTAGCATTTGGGCTATTTTATGGCCGTGAGATCCGAGTTGATAATGGTAACTGATGGTATTTGTGGTTGGAAAAGTAATAGCTGGCATAAAGATGCTGAGTCAATTACATTTGCTGATTGGAAGATAAAAGAAAAACTTTATAATCAGAATCCTAAATAATGATATCATATATATTAGCCTGTCGAATCTTTGGATCATTATTAAAGCTCAAAGGAACTAAACAACGCTCGTTTGGCTCTTTGAACACTTGGATTTCAAACTTTATGCCTGCTAGTGAAATTCTCTTTTGATTTTATTCAAAAATTATTAATAATCCTCTTCTATAAAACTGAAAACCAATGGCCAAACCCATACACATAGAATCGACTGATTTGGAGCACTTCAAGTGAAAATACCCGACAAAATGATGAAATATGAATTCGAAATGAGGGAAAAGCTTTGGACTAATCCATTTATGAGACTCTATCTAATTCAATGCCATCCATAAACCATTTCATGCGCCATCAATAGAGCAGTAGGAGGGGGCGGGACGAGAAAAAGTGCATTCATTTTCCCTGCCATGCCACACAATTGCCAACACGTGTGCGGCGTGTGCAACAGCAAGCAGCAGTCGTTCGGTCACAAAACTAAACACTGGCGTCATTTAATTAACCCAACCAAATGCAGTAGGGGTCCCAACATGCAACCCCCCCTGCTGCTGCTGTCACACACACACAAAGGCAGACAGAAAAGACCACATGATGATGATGATGATGATGATGATGGGGGTATCACTGTCAGTCCTCTCTTTGTGTCGCTCGCTCGCTCTCTGTGGGGTTATGCCTGGGGCTTTAGACCTCGTAAAATCCGAGGAAAAAGTTATTTTTATGCGCTTTTAATAGCTCACCCTTAGATGGCACCCCATGGACATGGCACCCCCGCATCATCATCGTATTTCATGTTTATGAATGCATTTTTATTATGATTTTTGTGTCTAATTTTTATGATCGTTAATTTTTGACGGGTCGGTGGGAGAACAAGTTTATGACAATTACAACAGGGGGGGGAGAAGGCAGTGAAAATCTCGCATTGTATTGATTTGATCCCAAAAAGAAAACGACTCAATTCGGAGCATATCAAACAGTTTGGGGGGGGGGTAACAAATTAGTTTGGTTTTCATATTGAGACATTTTCCGAACCGGAAAACTAATACAAGTATGATTAAAGTTAAGAGGCAAACACAACTGCTTAAGCCCAGCCCCAAAAGAGGAGGAAAACATAAGCCCCAAGGACAAACTCATAAATCTTTGAAGCGGGTAGGCAGCAGCCTCCTCGCCCCCATACGGCAAAATCCAAAGAAGAACATGCCATAAAACACATGAAGAAGTGTGTAAATAACAGAAGGAGCAGCTGAAGGAGTAGCAAAGGGAGCAGCAAAAGGAGCAACAGAAGGAAGCAGAAGCTGAAGGAGCAGCAGTAGAGGGGGTGGGAAATAAGAGAGACCCAGAAACAGAAGCATTGAGGAGGAAGTAGTCCGACGAATGCAGGGACTCAAAACAGGAACCACTGAAGAGGAACGCAGTATGAATCTAGGGAAGCAGAGGAACCAACAGAAACAGGAAGTTAGTACCAAGAAGATCGCCCAATGAATGAGGAAGCTAGTACGCAGGGTAACCCCTGGAAGAGAAAGTAGTACCGTGAAGTCTATACAGTCCAAGTCGTTCAATCCTTCTTCACCTTTAAGAGAATGTGTTTTTGCTTCCTCTCCTAAATCATTATTTTTGTTGTTGTTTTGTTTTTGGAATGAAATCAAAAACAGACTTCCTTTCATTCCACCCAAAAAGGGGGTTGGTCATTAATTTATGTAAAGCACAAATTATGATTGGATGGGGGAGGGTTTTTGGGTAGGTCTGCGCTCCATGGCAGGTTTCCAAGTAGGCCTATGGCCCCAAATGGAGAAGCCAGCAGCTGTAACACGTTGATTATGCCACGAGCGAGGCCTTCATGATGAAATCCATGGAATGTGGAAGATGATGATGATGGGATGGTCTGTGAGGGGGGGTCCCTGCGGTTTCTTGGGCAGTGCCAGTGGCTCCTTCTCAGTCTCAGTATCTGCCTCATTCTCACTCTATTTCTTCATTCTCTGGTTTAAGGGTAAGTGAAAAAGCACCGCAAAAAGGAGGGAAACCACACCAGCCAGCCAGTCAGGCAGGCAGCCAACGACGTTGCTTAATGGCGCAAAATGTTCTGCAGAACAGAAA